CTTTAAACCAAACCCTTAAAAGTAGGGACCAAATGATGTATTAAACCATATTATTATTATGACGTGATAGCTATTCTGAAATTCCTTATATTGTGACAACTTGACCCTTCGGCGTGTGTTTTTTCTATAACCATTTTCTAAAAATCCAATCACGGCGTGAAAATTGAAATTACTGTTTGTTGAGTAGTTTATACTTGCAAAATTCCTCACCATGCAAAAGTATGTGTAGATTGGTGACAACCCAATAACTTTGTGCCTTGTTATTGTGAGCTTTAACATAGTTAAAGGTGATTGTCTAGTTGGGAAATGCCCTTCAGAAAGAAAGGAAACAATTATTTTATATTTTCATTTATCTTGTATCATGTATTTTTGTTCTTTTTCCCTTGATATTATGAATAGGATAGAGTACCACGTTTTGTTTTTTTAATTTCGTCGTATTATGGGTTTCTCTTACTTCAGTAGATTGGAACTGGAACTGTCGCTGATCCGAAAAGTATTCGCAACATCTTGTTTCTGCAATTTCAGTTCTCCTTGTTTCATTTAAATGGTTTGTGTACAGGATTTCAATTTGAGCGTGTTAGCAGCTTACATGCGGCCAGGCTCCAAGTCTAAAATTGTCAAGGTTGTACCATATTTTCTTGTTTCTTTTGTGCATTGTTCTAGAGCACGAAAGTCTCAATGATATGTTCGCTGTTTTCTCAGTTTTCTCTTACTTGTCCAGAGTGTGAATAAGAAAAAAGAAATTGAGGTTGATGGATCCATTGAGTTCGAGCATCTGAATGTGGGAAGATAATGACTGCAATACTGATAGAAGAATGCTACATTGCTATTTTAAAAAGACCAAGTTTCATTTTCTAAAACTAAATATTTTGCATTAAAATATTTCTAAAAAAATGTTATATAGTTTGAAGAATTCTATAAGTAGTGCTTTTGTGGTCATTTGTTGCCTTTAATATTAATTGTTAAGAAGTTCTTCTGCTATATTTAAAATTAAATGCATTTTATATCTAAATGTAAGAAAGCTACATTATTAATACAACAGTCAAGTTTTTCGCCTTCATTCTTTCGTCACAGGATATTCTTTTCCAAGTTCATTTTTTCAATTTACACTCATTTCCATATATTACTACAAGATTTCTTTTTACATTCGTTCTAATTATGTCTTCCACATTGGAAGATTCAATTTGAACTTACTAAGCTGGAGATAAGTGTTCTGAAATTTGTATTCTTGTTTATTTTTGTAGATCAACTTACTAGCATCTAGTGGCCATGCCAACAAGGATGATTCTTATGATCTGCACCCTTGTCCATTTCACAGCATGGGAGCTTGATGTACGATACTGTACTTGTTGTATAGAGGTTAGTTACAGTCTGTTTCATAGAGTTATAATTTGAAGCTAGCATGCCCATAGTTTTGCTTGCTTGTAATGAAAATTTAACTAGTCTAAAATAAAAAGCATTCACTGTCTGTAAAAACTTTTAATGTATAATGATGTTATATGATGAAACCTGACATCTCATCTGGTTGTTGAAATTCTTTTTAAATCAATGCCAGCTGGGAATAATATGATGAAATAAGACGGAGATAAATTGACCGACGGTTGCACTTTACCTCAGAGCGCTTCAAGATTTTAATTGAACGATTTGAAATAATTGATTTTGGTTGTTATAATTTTTACTTATAAATTTTAAAATTAATATTTAGTCTTTTATAAAATATTTTTTTTACTTTTAAAATTTTAATTAACTGAATTTAGTCTCGCGTATATGTTTTAAGATAAATAAGTAACATTTACTTTGTGGATTTTAAGTTTTTTTTTTTTTGATATGATATATGTTGAAATGGATATTTTCTTTTCTCAAACTCTTTCCTTTCACTTTTTTTTTTTCATTGATGCAATCATTTAATGATCTAAATAATTATATTAGTACTAGTAAAAATGGACAACACACTAAAGGAAAATGAAATTGTCAGTTTTACATGCTTCTTTTTCCTTGTTAAAAGTGCTTCTTTAATTTCCAGCTTTGCAATTAGAATTGGAATAAACCTTGTCCAAAACGCTGTAAGAGTAAATTTTATACAAATTAAAAATAAAAAAATTTGTCGAACAATAAAGATCACTTTGCAAAACATCCAACTATTACAAGTTTTTTCAAATTTTTGTATTACTGCACGTTCCATCTCTCTTGGCACCATTTTCATGCCACTGTTGCGGAATGTTTGGATCATTTTAAAGTTCCTTCAAAAGAGCAGCTTTGTAAGTGATTTTTTCCCTATCATTATGTACATGATTTTTAATTTTACTTTATGTTCTTTTTAATTTATGTATATGATTTATAATTCAATTTTATAACTGTAATACATATATGATTTTTTAAAACTAAATCCAAATACAATAAGAAAAAGGAAAAGAAAAAACTTTCGCTGATTATTTTATTATTGTGTTTTCTAGTTTTCTTTAGAACTAAAATATAATTATTTTAAAAATTATTTAAATTCAACAGCTTAAAGATGACACGAGAGAACCCTAAGAGAGGAATGGTTGGAAAAGATACTATGGACATAATATTATAACACTAATAATTAAATAGAATTATAGTTTAACTTTTTGTAATACATAAGTAATTAATTAGTGTAATCTAATACTAAAAATTAGTGTTATCAAAATGTGTTAAGGTAACCTGGTTCACTACGGATTTGAGTTGGGTTGGGTTCGAAAAAAATATAATTTTGTATGTGCGTTAGTTTTCAACCTGGCTCATCCGAATTGAACCCGTGATGAGTCGGATGGATTGACTCACCAACCCACCTAATTTAATTTAATTATTTATTATTTTGTGTTTCAATATTATAATATTTTTATTATTATATTGTAGATAGAAATAAAAAAAAGATGTTTCAAGTGAGAAAATATATTATAAATTTATCTATTCAAGACTTTAATATTATAAACGAACAAGTGATATAAAAATTATCAATATTAAAAACTTATTTGTTCGCCTTTTGTGTTTGTGTTTTTTATTACGTTTGGATGATATGATTATTATATTTAGAGTTTAACATTATTTTAGAGTAAAATTTATTTAGATTTGAATTAAAAAGATTATGATTTTTTTATTTAAAAAAATTTATAATTAAGTGAGTCACTGAGCTTCAACCCATGTGGTGGATTGGACCGGATTTAATTTTTTTTCAATTTGCTAATAAATGAGTCGTGTTGGATTGACTCACTAAGTTGTTCAACCCATGATGGGTTCAGTCGCATTACCTTCAAATTTTATGAAAACAAAAATACATAAATAATTTTATAAGGAGAAAATCAAAACTTCCCTACTTTAATAGAACTAAAAATTTGTTTAAGTCTAATTTGAATCACTTGCCTATATAAACTTAGTTTGAAAATTTATTGGAGTGGGATGAAGAAATATTAAATTGTAAAAAGTATAAATGAGTTGTAATTGTAAAATTCATTTAAACAGTGTAAAAGAAGCATAAATAAAATGTTGGCATGGAAATGCTCCAATATAATCTGAAGAAGGGTAGACATTCGAAGACAAACAAAAATAAGAAAATAAATAAATAAATGAAATAATATAATAAAAATATATGTGAAATAAGTGAAAGAGCAATGAATAGAATAGTTATGAAGTTGTTGTTGTGGGATACAGCTTACATACAAGGGAAAGAAAGAGAGAGAGAGAGGACGACAACAACACAAAGTGACAAACAAGTGTAAAGCTTCATGCGCAGGTTGTCAGAAAACGCGTTTTTTCCTGCTTCTATGCTCTATATTACGTTTACAATTTTTTTCATAACAAAGACAAATTAATTTTAATACAAATAATTAATATAATGACAACGAGGGTTAATGAATTTCACCTTTTGGTGAAACCTAATATGAATCTTATGATTTAGGTCAATTTAAGTTTCTTTAACTAAGAATTCTTTTAAATTTTATGTTTAATGACTTTCCTTTTAGTTTTATATCACAAATATTTTTTGTTTGCTTATATATAGCTTTTAAACTCCGCAAAGAAATTAAATAATATACTCGAAAAATTAATTAAAAACAACATATGCAGAATTAAAAAGAGATATACAAAAAATACGATTTTTTTTTATAAATATAAAAACTAAACAACTAACTTAATCTATTTCTGAAATAAAATAAACCTAAATTCAAACCTTTTTCAGTTTAAAGATCAATTTCGTGTGATACAAAAATTCAAATTAAAAAGCACTTGTTCTAAAATGATATGCAAAAGGATTATACCATAGACTTATATTTTTAGTTTATAAATATGACGTGTATTCAATTTAAAAATATTTATAGTCTGTCACTTTAGAAAAGAAAAAACATTGTTTTTAGGTTTTGTTTAGTAGAGGAAAGAGAAAATAAATAGGCTAAGAGGAATAGATTTAAATAAAACAAATACAATTAATTAAAAAAGATAATAATTAAAATAAAAAATTATTTTATTTGTGTGAATAATGCCTATATATAATTATTGTATACAATAAAAGATTTACTAATATATGATTTTATTTATTAATAGCTGTTTATTTCTTTAAACTTTATCGTCCAAAAGATAAACGATTTTCACAATCATTTAATTGTTTCTTTTCTCTATACTCACTTATTCTCTTTTCTCGAGTTTCAAAACATACCATTTAACTTTTTAACTACTGCATTTAAAGAATTAAACTACTTCTTTTAAATTGTTGTTAGTTTCCAACAGTAAATAAATGAAAAAAAATCTTATTTTCAAACTTAAGAAACAAAAAAAAAATTGAATTTCGAGAATAAAGATAATTTAAAAAATAATTTGAAATTTCTGAAACAAAAATCATAATAAAGTAAAATAATATTTACTCTTTTGGATTATTTTATAAAATAGAACTCGACTTGGTTGTAAAAAGGCTACTATCCAGTATTCCCCATTTTCATTTACTTTATTGCTACCAACTTCATAAAGAAGTCACTGTCTAGTAGCTTCCAATTTCAAGCTTCATCACTATAAGTACACGCAGCCTCTTGCAAATGCCATCACAAAGCAAAATGAAGCTTCTCTTTGCCACCCTACTGCTTTCTTCTCTTCTTCTAAGCTCCTCTTTCTTGGAGACAGCCACGGCGTACGAAGAATCATGTAAGATTTTCAGTTGCTGCTATATGTTGTCTAAGTATACATATTTTGTGAAACTAAGTGTGATGTGTTTGTCTTGTGTGTTGATGGTAGCTTATTGCAGCAGCAAGTGTACGGATAGGTGCTCTGCCGCAGGGGTTAAGGATAGATGTCTGAAGTACTGTGGAATATGCTGTTCGGAGTGCAAATGCGTTCCTTCTGGAACCTATGGGAACAAGCATGAGTGCCCTTGCTACAGGGACAAGCTCAACAAGAAGGGGAAGCCCAAATGCCCTTGATTCCTTCAAACTCATGGAGACAGATTGTGTGTTGTGTACGTTAGTTGTTTACAAATGTTTAAGTTTTGTGTTAAGTCTAATCTGTTTATCTGTTATCTGTTATCTGTTATCTCTGTCAGCTCATGTGTTGGATTCTTGCATAATCCTAAACTTCAAGTTTCCAATATCTGTTGATGTTAGATCTAAATCCGAATAAATTAGACATTCTGCGTAAACCTTGTCTTCTCAGTTTGGACTCTTGGACCTCATCATCAACCAATGAACAATTTGCAGCTTCGAGGACTAATGTAATCAGTTAAAACTATAGTTAAGATTTTATGACAATTAATCTATGTGCTTGATGGAGATTTAAATTTCATGCCAAGAAAGTAGCTCAGTTATTTATTATCATATATAACTGATGATGCATGTACACAGAACTATCATGTCTAAGAAACATTTTCTTAAGAACATACCTCGGATTCTCCCACATGTGATTCCTGGATGGATGTTCAAAATTTAAAGCACCGTCATGATGTCACTGCGCACTTGCACGCATGTGACATGTCTGTAACATTATAGTAAAAAATACCCAAACAAGGTGCCACTATACTGCTCATACTAGCCGTGCATCTTACTAAAATGAGATTTTTTGCCTTACTCTCTCGAGTTACTAAAATGAGTTTAACATAAAAAATTCATGATATTTTTATTTTTTCAGTTAATATACCTGAAAAATCTCAATTGTTCTCCAATTTTCCATCTTTATTAGTTAAGTTCAATTAGGATTTAGACTGTTTAGTAAAAATAGTATTCAGTTTTATGTTATTTTGGAGTTTTGTTCTTGGGAAAATGCACGCTATGTAGTAGCGGGAAGCTGGTATTGGTGTATGTTGTGGTGGGATGATGTGAGTGTTGCAGCTGTAACGCCCGGCAACTCACAAGAACATCGACTGCTCTCACACGTCACCACGTGGTTTTCCAATGTGCTTTGTCCTTACTCGCACATTTTTTGAGAAAACTTTCCAGAAGGTCACTTATTTCTAAATTACTCCAAGCTAAGCACATCCTTTTAAGCTATCCTTCAACTGTATAGTCTCATATTTATACGGTCTCGAGATCCCTCTCATTCCGGTGTATGTTCGATTTGTCCATGTGCTCCTTCCATTGGAAGCCTGCCAAGAGCCGTTCCTTGTCTGTGTCCCTTACACTTCATGTCTCTTGCATCGGCAATCACTCCCCGCCTTAGTCAGTGCCCGGATGTCACAGCAGCAGTGGAGGTAGCAATGATGTGTGGTACTTGGTGCGTGTTTGGTGGTTCTGGTAATGGGGATCGTGTTTTTGGAAAATTTTCTTGCTTCTGATAGTTGTTGAGAAGCTGGATTTGTTAGTGCATTATTGCTAATAATGGATGGGCTAAAACATTCACTTACAAGTTTAATGCAATGAATAATCACTTCTTAGAAACATGTAATAAACTAAGTGCATATTTAAAAATGTAATAAGTGCTGCAAATATTGAAAAACAAAAAATGAAATTCAAATAAATAAGTTACATAAAACACTTTAATATATATAAATTCATTAAGTGTTAAAATTATTTAATTATACCAGTTTGGATAAGATATATCTTTAATCCCTCGGTTTAATATGAATGAGATGTAAGAAAAAGTCTAAACTATCCATGTAATATATTTTAATATTGCACAATTCAAAAATGTATTTTGAATTGCAAATTTCAAAATTTATAATTATATGGTTACATATTTAGATTTTATAGTGTGAAACATTTCACAAATCCATTATGAATATACAATACAGAAATATATTATGAGCGTATAATTTTAAAAAAAATGTTTTGAATTGTATAAGTCAAAATTCATAATTATGTTTTTAGATTAGAATAGGTATTTTTATTGAATTTCATAATCCAAAAATTAAAATTAAAATGGCAAATTGTACAATAATTTATTTTTCAATTAACATACCTTTTCACATTGTGTAATAGATAAACCAGTTTATTATAATTACAAAAATGCTACAATTTCCCTTTTCATTGTCCAGTTCAAGAGACTTCTAATTATACAATAAATTGTAAAATGAAAAAATGAGTCAAAAAAATCAAAGTCAGCTCCAAGGTTGTTAAAATTCTTTGATACCTACAAATAGTTTATTAACTTCAATACCTACAAAAACATCACTTGCAACTAGGGATGACAAAAATATCGCGGAGACAGATATCTGCGAGTAAAATCCGCGATGAATAGTTATTATTTATGAATATTTACTATCCACGAGTAACGGGTAACGGATATTTTATTATCCGTTTCTAAATGGGTTGGGTATACATAATATACTACCTAACTACAAAAAAAATGGTACTTAAGGGAGGTTATTTTGCGGAGGTTATAAAAACCCTCCGCAAATTAATATGATTTAATTTGGTTCTATTGAATTGTCATATGCCTAATTATATCGGAGGTTTTAAGTTTTTTTTAAAGAGGTTCATAACTAATCAAATTATAATACATTTTTCTTTTTATTTTTTTTCGTTTTTCAGTCTTTTCCTTCCAAAATTTTATCTTACTTTATTTTTTCTCCAAATTCCTAAACCTAAACTTAACTTCATCAAACACTTCCTTTTTCTCATGTTCATTTACACTCTTTGAGTCGTCTTCCCGTCACAGCCATTCTCGACCAGGAAAAGCGTAATGATTACCCGCTGTAAATTGTTGAGAAGGTGATCTTGTAGAGGAGCTTGATGTCGCCTGTCATGAAGGTGGTGAGGAGTTCGGGGTCGACGTTGGACTAGACGAGGGAGTCGCAGACTTGGGAGACGCATATACAGTCAAAGGGGTTTTCAGTTCTACGTTTTCCATTTTTGATTCAAAACTCAAATCTTAAAACTCTTCCCCAAACCTCTCTTTTAGGTTTAGGTTTCATGTTTCAGAGGCTTTACCTTTCACTAGTGTCCTCAAATTCGTGAAATCATAAAACCCTAATCGAAGATGAGACAGTTCTCAAACGCCTCCGCACTTATCGCGGCCACAACGGTATCGTTTGGTGTTGCAACGCCTTTCCATATTGATTTCACTTCCAAT